GGGCTTTTAACACAAAATGATCGATGCTGTTAGCAAAATGAATTTTTTTATCATCATAGTATTCTCAGTATGAAGTAAAAATATCTCGTTCAGTAAAGTACTCGAACACGATAAAACAGTCTGTAATAGTTGAATTCATCGATAATAGAAATACTTACTCGGCTGTTTTTAATAACTTTAAATGCCTGTCATCGTCAATATCTTCGATTTCCAATGCGCTATTCCACATACAAGAGTCAGCTACTTGATTCGATGATAAATCAAAAGATCCAGATGAAATATTAGAGAATAATGCTGTATCACTCATTGCCAGATTTGGTTTATCTGAAACAATTATATTAACATATGAGAAATTCATCTACATATATAAGATTATAAACTAACCTGTATAAGATGAAGATGTTTCTTCAGTTAGATAATTTAAATTGCTGCTAATATATCGTTGTATGATTCCACGACTGAATAATTTAGTATCGATTATTTCTGATTTTGAAGTTTTGTCTAATTGACAATCACATGTTATTTGAGCCTGTGCATGCCCATCATCGAGCCAGCTAGGCAGTGCAAAATCGATTGTTTCACTCCAACTTGCATCATCAGTGAAACTTTGAGATAGAGCACCTGCTCCTATGATGATAATTTCATTAGGTTGCTGAATTAGCCTATGATAGCGAATTTTATATTTGTCGAACATTAGAGGATCCATCAGTATACATCCATGTTCAAGACAAGCGGAAGTCTTTTGATGATGAAAAAGGCGTTCAAGAGCATTTCGTTCATTTGCTGGCACAATATACCAATAACGAACACCGCCTTCGTGATGATAGTTAAACGAGAGAAGACGTTGACGACCAGAGGCCAACGGTGAGATCGCACCAGGCCCATGTGTTCGAATCAAAGATGGAACAAATTGACGAAGAATATTTTTATCACACAATCTGAGCAGTGATCGACGAGGTAATTGATGAATATCCAAGTCAGTTCGGCGAACACGTTTTAAAAAAAAACTCGCCCCTGGTATTTTGGAGACACTTGATATTTTCTGTGGATAATTAAAATGAGATAATGATGACCAAAAACCTGCTTCATCTAAATGTGATGGTTGATGTTGTTCTTTCTCATTGAAACAAGGCACTGAATCAACAGAATAGATAAAATCATTTTGATTTAATCGCATAACCTGTTGAGTCATGGAAGGAGTCATGAGTTTTATTCGATTCTTTTTTTTGGCAGATTGAAATTCAGTAGGTACTGCGATTTTGATTGCACCATATTGTTTAAGAAGTGGTTCATTCATATAGACAAAACTAAGAAAATTCTTCATGTTGTCTGTACTTGCTCGAACTGTTGGTGCATCGGCCGAGATGCATGTCATTTGTTATGAAGAAATCTGAAAACAGTTTCTATATGGATTGAAGACGTTATCAAAATGTAAAAACGCTTCTCTTTATCTAACAGTAAATTCCAATTTAATTATTAACATCTATAAAGTAGACTGACAAAATAGTATTCTGGCAAAATCTAGAAAAGCGATTCATAAAGAAATAAAACCTGTATATTAGGAAATTGTTGTAAATCTCAATGAAGACAAGACTAATAGGCAATTTATATGTTTTAGTCTTTTTCTAAAGTTTCTGTTGCAAGATTTTTTTTCAAGTGGTTTATGTTTTTTCTTGTATGTTGCGAGAACAGCATCTTGTTTTTCATCGATAAGTTGATCAAAACAGGGCAAACTCAGCGAACAATCAAAGAAAAAAAACACTTTCCGAAATTCTAAGTTGAGTTTATCATGAAAATAAACTGAAACAATCCTGCGTGCAAGCATAGTTTCTTTGAATTCACATACTTTTTTATATGTAAGAAATATTGTTAAAAACCGTTTCTCTCCGTATTTATTCCACAGAGAAAATATAAGCAAGGCGTTAGAGAACTCATTCTTTAAAACATATTTTATTACTGCAAGATTCACTTATTTGTAATAATTTCTTTGCCAAAAGTTGCACATGAAAATTCGAAATACAAGTATTATATATCGATTCACTTAAAACAAAATGTTCAAATTCTAATCAAGTAAAAGGGACACATTTATGTGTCTAACTACGATATATCTTTTCTAACATTGTTGGACTTCCTATCATAGATTTTACTGTGTAGTATGTACTAGAATGATCTGCATATCCTTAGATGTATTATAAGATTTAGTTGATAGAAGAATTCTTTAAAATAAATTTAAAAAAGCTAATAGATCATGTTTGTTGATTGGCAAACATGAAGTTGGATAGTTAATACAAACGTGATTATTTCTATCATCGAGTTATTGACATAAGAAGAAATATATTTTTCAAAATGATTTCATGGAGATAGTTAGACACGCTCTTGCATTAGTCTACTCATATTTGCTAGAGTTTGTATTATGCTCATGAACTAAAATATTTTTAGTAGCATGTATACGTTGACGCACCGAGGAGTTTTACTAGAAAATATTCTGAAATTATTCTTTTATTTTTGTTAATAAAATTCAATTGTTTTTCAATGAAATTGAATAGTTTAGAAATGTTGTTATCTAATTATTAATCTCTATCCGTATCCCTCATTAGATAACTTTTTGATATTGTAAAAAAACACCAACCTACATTTCAAAAACGACTGTGATTGCGAGCAAGAAAAAATTTTATAAGGCGACTTATCTTATAAAAAATATTTAGAAGGACACTTTTATCGACTTTACTTTTCTCAGCATGATCAATTTATCAAACTAATATTTGGATTATATTAGGAGTAGGATGATACACATAAAAGGTTTTTTTTATTCAATATATCGAATCAATTTAAATTATCAAAAAATCTGAAAATACAAATCCATACTAGTATACAAAAAACCATTAGACGGTAAATAGCAAAGTATCATGAGTACCAATGTTATTACTCACAAATAGTAGCCTTGACAAGAATGAAATTCAACTATGCCAAAAACTCATTAGAAGTCGACTAGTAAAATTAAATAAGCTCCATCTATGACACAACCAAATAGTTTATATGTCTCATCAGCCTACGCAAAATCAATAAAGGAAAACGTGACGCATTTCATTCAAATGATTAGCCTTATCAAATAAGTGCTGATGCATGAATGATTATGGCTTGGCAAGTATGGGAGCACGTTACAGAATCAATCATATTTACATTAGCACGCATGAAATATTACCTCTATACACCCCTCTTATTTTTGTTGTATGGGGAGAACAAAAGTGTTTATTAGAGAGCCCACTCACGAAGATGCAAGAAATTTTAGCAGTCAAAAATCATTGCGTAAGTCGTGCACATTCATGTAGTTGCATGAGTATTAATGTCGTAAACAATCATATTCAAAAATACATGCTTTTATTATTCAGACACATTTCCTCGCTATTCAATCATCTGCGAACACTACCCAACCAGACAAACTTTTGGGAAAACGCGATTAAACACTCAATCGGGAACCGCGACTGCGAGTCATTAACGCTCAGTAAAGAAACGAAAGAAACGCGTTTTACACGCAGAATTCCCACTTTCAGAGCGTGAAAACGGGTAAAGACTCCAATTCTCAGCGTTTAAACGAATTAGTTTTTAAGTTATAGAATAATTGTGCGTTTAAACGCTGTGGATTGGAGTTTTTACTCGTTTTCACGCTCTGAAAGTGTGAATTCTGCATAAAAAACGCGTTTCTTGCATTTTGTTATTGAGTGTTAATGACTCACAATCGCGGTTCCCGGTTGAGTGCTTAAACACATTTTCACAAAAGTTTGTCTGCTTGGGTACAAGTGCAATAAAGGTAGAAAGAAATATTAACCACCTGATAATCACTAGTCATCTAGTCAGTAAATACCTATACAAAAGGTAGCTTGCTGAGTGTAAAGATCATCACTTTTTGCGTTTTCATAAAACTATTTTTTTTTGAAATAGTAGAGAATCTGACTTCCATCAGCTCTGCAAACTTGCTTTAAGAATTACCAAAAAATTGCATTTTGAAAATTTTTCAGCGTAACGAGCGCATATTTTCACTTATTGATACAGCTGCCTATCTGTATAAGACACGCTTTAGCATTAGTATTAATAAGTTCAGGCAAAATCGAAATATATATTACAAGACTTTTGAGACGATAACATATACATGGATTAAAATGATTTTATTCGGAGGATAAATACAAAATAGATATGGATGAAGAAACTTAAAATTATACACTCAAAAACATGTAAATACACTGCAGAATCACGTTGATAATAACTTTCTTACACAAGACTTTTTCGAATTCACTTACAGAACTCAATAAAATTCTACTTATCTCACAAATGCGTGCTATTTATATTTGGGTGACAACACGTACGTGTCATATTTGTTTCAAAACGATAAAACAGTGCTACGTGCAACTATTTAGAAGAATCAAAAGCCTTTATACAATGTCGGACGTTATGTTTCAAAATGTGCTAAATTCAATTTCCAAACATGTACTTCAAAAATGCATATATATATGCATGTTCCATTGCCTTATATGTAAGCGTGACAATGAGAAATATTTTAAATGCCCTATAATTTTAAGAAACATTTTTCTTTTCTTTTCATATTGTGCAAATAGATTGTAATGTACAATATCTACAAGGTTTATCGCTAAAATAAACTTACGAAACGTAGACTTTTTCTCATAGAGACACCAGATTTTTGCTTTTACTAAGAATATAGTTATTTTTTGAATTTTCTGATTACAAAGCATATAAGAAAATACTCGTTTCCTGTGAAAAACATATGGATTGACAACCTTTTAACTATAATTTATGATCTCAAAAACATTTTCACCCATCTAACACGTATTCGAAGAATTTGAAATAAATAAGGTCGTACTATATAAACGCTAAACTATTCATGTGACCAATGCCAATAAGTTAGTGTTGGAATAAATAATTTTTCATAATGAATATGTTGTAAAAGATTGCCTTAAAGAAATACCATATACATTTCATCATCGATTACTATTCATCTGATGAAATCTCCTATCAGAATGAACAAATCATTGTTGTCCGCAGCTAGTTTCTACATTCTTTTTAAATATCTAAATTTTCTCTTTGAAATATAGTCTTTTACTATGACAGGATCCATTTGCAATACTTCACAAATCTCAATAGTAAACTCCGAGTATGCACTTTTCTTCTTATCTAAGTTATAATAAATTTATAGAATTTTTATGTTGAATTTCTGGATATTATTATTAGAAATTATTTCATTGAACATTATGACTTCTGAAAGTTTATTAACAATTGGAAAAGCTTCTCAAAAGATGACTATTTAGATTATCCGACAATATTTTTCTGTGACTATTTGTATTGATATAAAAAAAAATATGTTAATATTTTATTATTCTACTTAATACTTTGAAACTGACGATCTTATTTGAATTTAATTTTCTCTTAATGAAATAAGTCTTCGTTTAAAATATGATATATTCTATTAAAACTCTATTCTAGTTTTCACTATTTTTGCTGTAAGTCAACTTGACCTGTACTAAGAATGAGAAAATGACTTAGAAAATAACTATGATCATATACTTTTTATTTAATATGGCATAATATGCATGACTGTAACGGTACGTAGAATAGTACTCTGAAGATTGTAGCAATTATTTTGCTGATAAACTACTTTAAACTTGATTTTCCAGCAATTAAAATGAAAACGAAGAACCTTCAGCTGTCAGATAGAAAAATTACAAATCAAACTTGATAATTTTATTGTATCAAAATATGTAAGTATCATATCATGAAGAAGTTCCTTCTAAATCTAGATTCTACTAAATGATGTTAGTGGTCGATAGAGTACACACTATTCATTACGAAGATAATAATTTTCTCTTATTATAATGAGAAAAATAATGATAATGAGAAAAATAATGATAATTTAAAAGCATCATTTAAAAAAAATGTGTATAAAGATTAGGAATTTTTACACTTTACTCTAATCAACTCATCAATACGTTTTGTTTAATAGTTGTATTATGTGTACCAGTAAAATCAGTTGAAAGCCAAGAATTCTTTTTATAAAATTACTGTAGTCTGTATATTTTTCTGCTTCATAACACGGATGAACTGTAAGTTTCTAGAATAAGCTCTTGTCCTACATCTAAATTAGGCGGAGAGGCGCAAAAAAATAAAATTCAAAACTCTCAACATAAGGAAAGACTCAAATATTTAAGGCGTACAATAAATTCTACTCCTAATCTAGGTAGTTGTTGTATCTCTACTATATCATCTAATTCAGAATTGTAAAACAGAGTTAGAATTTTCAAATATACATGATTTTTTTTACATCGTGACAACTGAAAAATGAGTTAAAGACTTACGTTTTATCACTCT